GCATTTCAGCCAAGCAGAGAATCTAGGAACATCACTTGGGAGGGAACAAAGACATCTCTGAAGTCATTTGAAGGTGGAAAGTAATTCCACAGGAAGTACAATGATCTTAATTAAATATTAGCTGTAATTAGCCTAAAGTGCAAATGTTGGGAATATTAATTAGGGTCTCTCTGGAACGGCTGTCGGTGTTAATAAGTAACTGCAGGGGGTCCCCCCCAACATCTGCTTGGGAACTCCAGGTACAGGATGAACCTAGAGCCTCATGTACCTGGATGCTAACTGTAGGCCCCTTCGCTGCCGTGGACGTGGTCCTAAGAGCTTGTGCCCTGGGTTGGCCAGAAGGGCGTGGTTTGCTCTGGAGCACAGAAGCCTGAGGCCAGCTTGGACCTTCTCCCGCTGGCCTCTGTTGGCCCTAACTCATCCTGGGACAGGTTCAGAGAATTCTGAAGCCAGGCCTCAGGTTGGAGACATGGTGCAGAGGTTTCCCAAGCTGCTGCCCCACACTAGCCAAGGATCACCTTCCTTACCTGGCAGAGAGATTTGCTGGCATGTTAGCATCAAATACCCCAGTGCCTGGCATCCCCACAACAGGGTGTGGAAGACAGATCTTGGGCCCATGATGTATGTGAGAGGGAGGGGGTTGCATATTTAAGAGAACGACCAACCTCCCTGCTAGGTGATTCCCTTGCCCAATGAGAGATCCCTGGGCACTGGATGAAGATGGGCATGGTTCAACTCCTGGTTTTCCTAGGAAGGACCTGTGGCTATGACTTTGCATAGTTATTTCCCAAGACTGTGCTAGAGCGTCTTTAACTGTAAAGTGAAGTGGAATTAGAGGTGCAGACCTAGGCACTAGTAAACTAGGGGGTCCACAGATGTCTTTGAGGCAGGGGCAGTCCTGTGTACTACTGCAGGGTGTCCAGCACCATCCTTGATCTCACTCACTACATACCCAGAGCACTTCCTCCTCCAGTGGTGACAACGAAGAATGCCTCTAGTCACTGCCTCCTGTCCCCTGGTAAGCTGGTTCAAGAGCTACTGATATAAAGTAACTGGCAGGGTGTCTGGCATGCACCAGGCCTGAGGCAAAGGACACTGTCATCCAGCTTGTCTGGTGAGCTCCAGACAGGAGGTGGGGCTGCCTTTCAGATGGAGCATAGAAGCCTGAGGCCAGGATGGACCTTCTCCTTATGAGCCCACTTGTGCTGTGTTTGCAGCCTCTGTGTGTGAGAGAGAGAGAGAGACCTCGCGCGTGCACGTGTGTATGTGTGCACACATGCATGTGTGGTTACAGGAAGGTGATGCTGACATCTGGTGATGGAAAGCAAATTTCAGAAAAGATTCTGACCCCTCCTTTTGTTCCCTCCTCAACACCACCCTTCTCCAAGGCCAGCTGACATCACCTGCCCTTGGTTCAGGTAGAGTACAAGTACCCCCTCCTGCCTCTTCCTCCTGTGGGCCAGCTTTTTACTCTCTACTGTTTTTGCAATGATGGGCTCCTAGCAGTGCCCCATGTCTAATGGCATTCTGACATGGCCATTAGAAGCTGTTTATGCATAGGCCCAGATGCAGTCTTTGGGGGATGTGTGTTTTCCGTCGCAATTATTAAACACTGCCATTGTAGTACAAAAGTGGCCAGAGACAGTATGGAAAGAGATGAGCAGGGCTGTGTCCTGATAAAACTTCATTTACAAAACCACGAGGTGGACTAGATTGGGCCCCTGAGTCCTTTGCTGAGTCCTCTCTGCTCCTCCCACCCTACCTCCTGCTGTGCATGAGGCTTCCGAGCCAGACTTCCTTTCTTCAAGCGCACATTCACTGAGCAGACCCTGGGAAATGGGACCACAGCTCTGCTGTGCTGATGGAGCTTGGAGACAGCTCGGTGGACGTGGCCCAGCCACCTGTCCTCGGGGAGCTCACAGGCACCTGAAGAGGCAGCAGTGGTTATGGGGGTCATGTGAGATGTGGCCACACGCTGTGGTGGAGCGTGGAGCTGGGCTAGGTGTCAAGGAAGGCTTGCTGGAGGAGGGAGCTCCTGACGTGGGACCTGAACAAGAAGATAGGATTGGCCAGGCCAGGCGTGGGGGCTTCCCATGCAGAGGGGCTGTGAGTGGAGAGCCCTGATGGTGTGGGCAGGGTGGACCACCTTCTCTCCCACAGCAGATGGGAGAGAAGGTGGTCCTCCCTTTCCACTGCAGAGAAGCCTCAGATCCCAGAAGAACTTTTGCTCTGCAGGTGCTAAGGGACAGTCCCAACGTCCTGAGGCTTCTCTGCAGGGTTGTGTTCCTAGTGGAGGTCTTTTCTCTGGAGAAGCAGGGAGCCCCTGGGCCTCTGTGAGACTGCAGCCTGTGTCCTGGCTTAGGTATCATTTGTGCTCTGCTAGGTGGTCACACCTGGAGTTTCCCCAAGTCTGCCTTTCCATTCAGAGATGGAGCAGGTGGAAGATGGCAGAAGTTGAGACACACCTGGATGGAAGCTGACTCTAACATGGTGAATTCCCTCTGGAAGCTTCCCAAGATGCAGACATTTGGGGGGGGGGCTTTCAGTCAGGCGTGGAGAAGTGATGTGGTCATGAGAGTTCCATATACAGGAACACGTTCCTTGACTAGCCCAGGGAAAGAAGACTCTAGTTATGAAATACCAAGGATTTATTTTTTTCTCTCTCTCTTTTTGAGTCAAGACCCTTTGAGTTGTAACAGAAAAACTGGCTTAGAGACAATAAGGCAAAGGGTACAACATTTCAGTTATGCAAGATGCCTAAGTTCTGCAGCGCTGATACACAGTGTGGGGATGAGCGTTAGAAGTGCTGTGTTTTTTATACTTGAAATGTGCTAAGAGGGTACAACTTAAATTAAATCTTCTCACCACGCACACACACACAGGCAAATGGTAACCGTGTGGAGGTGATAGCTAAGTTAACTGACTGGAACGTGGTGATCTTTTCACAGCATATGTATATATGTGTATAAATATATATTATATGTATCTCAAAACAACAAGTTATATATCTTAAATATGTACAATTTTTATGTTAATGATATCTCAATAAAGCTGTTGGAAAATAGTACATTTACTCATGTAAATAAAATAAACAAGGGTGTTACTAATGCAGGTATGGCTAGATGCTAGACTTCGAATGATGTTTCAAGAACTCCGTTGATCCCTCTTGTTCCCACCTGCCTGTGTGTGGCCACATCTGTATGCAGGTCCTTTTCAAGTGTCAGTTCTTGGCAGCTGCAGACTTGGGTATGTTTACAGCCGCCAATCACAGTGACAATAAAACTTCTTTCCAGAGTCTGCATCAGAATGCAGAGTGAACTGGGCTTACCTCAGTAGTGAGGTCCCTAAATAGATGGGTGTGAACTGAAATCCCCATGCCTGTGGCTACATAACCTTCTGATTTGGCCAGCCTGCTGTCACATGGCTGTGCCTACCTGGCAACAGGGCTGGCACCAGGAGGGCTGAGTGGGAATGTTCCCCAAACTGAAACTGGGCTGTTTCTAAAGAACCCCATGACAAGGACAATATGCGTGCTCTGAGTTTTCCAAGGAGAGACGGGGTCCTGTGGGCACCCAGCAGCCCAGCCTCAGCCCAGGCAGACCCTCTACTGCCACAGATGCCACAGAAAGTGTTGGATGAGACACATGCACGCTTGCACTTCCAGTGGCACAGACATTTGGGAAAACGAGTCTGGAGGAGGAAGGAGCCTGGCGGGAATGTTCTCACTTATAAAAGGTTTTAAACTTCTCCCAAGCTCCGTTCTCTTCCAAGTGTCAGCTTTAACATTCTAATTAAGGGTCCTCTCTCAACAAATCCATGTGTTCTTCTGGGAGCACCCTCCCCCAGCACCACATATCTGCTGTGCTCGAGCTACTTCAGTGGAATGTGCTCTAGAATGTTCCTGGAGGGTACTGAGGCCATGTGCCCTCCTATCATTACGGGAGGCGAGAGGGCGAAAGTCACAGCTAATTGACCACAGACAATAGGAGAGGCCGCTATTCGGTGTGCTTAATTGCTAAGCTTTTTATATTTTTTCTTTCTTTCTGACTGTGCAATCACATCTCTTGAGACCATGGAAAATTTGGACCTCTAGGTTATGATTTCTTATGTCTTCAGTGTGAGTGTGTGTGTGTGAAGGGTGGTAGAGTTAGGGGTGGAGGCGGAGGGAGAAAGATGTTTCCTGAAATGGAAACATTTGAATTCAGGCTTTTTTTTTTTTTAATTCTTTTGACTTGACTGTAATTATCATACTGCATGTTTAGGCTATAACTGAAGGGCAAATTGTTATATAATATTCTGTGGTTATAAAAAATAAGACCAGGGTTGGGGGAAAGGCATTGATTGACTAATGGGGCTAAGGAGAGTTAAGTCCAACATTTTGCAGAAAAGCTTTGAGTGGGGATATCACAGGGGACATCTTTGTCTAAATTAGGACCTGAATTCTCCTTGGCTCTTTCACATGGGGGCTGGGAACATCTCGCATACACACACACCAGGCACACACTGGGACCATTAAGAGGACCCTCCCCCACCCCATGATGTGAGCCAAGTCACATAAAACTTTGATTAAATTCAAATGCTTAGATGAATTGTCTCTCCTCTCAAGAACACACTCGTTCAATTTAATCTCTCTTGGCACTTTAAGTATCAAATCAAGGCTGCGCTGTCACTGTAGACAACTACATGCTCACGACTTCCAAAATGAGGATCTGCACAGAAAAAAAAAAAAAAAAAAGCCCCAATCCAGTAGGACACAGACCTGCGCAGTCTGCAATCTCAGGCTGGATGATGGGGAAAAGGGTGCTTGAGGGTCTGCGCCTCTATTTCTGCATCTGTGAAATGGGGATTCTGGGGGTGGCAGTCTCCGGAGGCGCATGAGCGGTGCCTGCGGTGGGGGCGCTCGGGCTGCAGGGAGCAGGAGGCCTGGGGCGGAGGGTCAAGGTCCTCTTCGGAGCCCACTCATGCTCTCTCTCCCTCTCTCCACCTTTTTGATTTTGCAGGGTAATCAGGAAGCAGCAGCTGCCCCTGACACGATGGCCCAGCCTTACGCTTCGGCCCAGTTTGCTCCGCCGCAGAACGGCATCCCCGCGGAATACACGGCCCCCCACCCCCACCCCGCGCCAGAGTACACGGGCCAGACCACCGTCCCCGAGCACACGTTAAACCTGTACCCTCCCGCCCAGTCGCACTCGGAGCAGAGCGCCGCGGACACCAGTGCGCAGACCGTGTCCGGCACCGCCACAGTAAGTGGGCTCCACGCTGGGGCGGGGGGCGCTGCACCCGGCGCGTGCCAGGGGGTGCCAGCCACAGCCCAGGTGCACCCGGCCAGCCAGGGACGCAGGCCAGCCAAGTGGCGCCGAGTGGTTTCTTGCTGTACCAACGCCCTGAAGTTTGCCTGGGCGGCGCGCCTCCTTTCTTATTATTTGTTTAAATCGACACATTTTTCATTCCGCACATTGGTTTGTAAAAGAAACATCCATCTCTTTTGTTCTACACTTTTGCCTTTTCCAAACTATCATCCCCATGGAATAGACTGGAAATGGTTCGACAGAGAGATGATCTATCCACCATACATTTCCCGGATTTTAAAACGGTGTGCCCTGCAGTGATTTTTTAGTGTATTTACGGAGTTGCCCACCCTTCTCCGAAATCTGCTTTTGGAATGTTTCCATCACTCTGGAAACAAATCTGGTGCCGGTTCCCACCACAGCCTTCTGAGACTTAGCGGAATGCACCAGAGCGTGGCCCACGTTTTGGCTTCAGGACTCCTGTAGCTGGGACACAGGAAAGGCAGAGGTGGGGACTCTACCAGGGCAGGGCCAGAGGGTCTTGGCTCCCGAGAAGTGTGGTATTTTAATGTTGGTGGTTGCATGATTGATTTCCCAATTATGGTCCATAGAAGGATTAAATGGGTCACAAACATGGAAGCAAACAAAGAAACAACACCCTTTATGACCACCCTAAAGGAAAACCAGTGTTAACAGGCCAGCCTTCCAACACAGCTCTCAATAGGCGTTTTCATATCAGAATCAGTGTGTGTTTGTTCCTGTACCACCTGCAAGAACCATGCATTCCTCCACACCTGGGGAGGAAGCCTCGCCCTGCAGGCTCCCCTAGAAGCTGATGCACCACGCATCCAGCCCAGGGCACTGGCAGCACAAGGCCCTTCTCCCTACCCCCTCTGCCTCTGGGAAACCAGCCCGTGGGAAGAAGTTTGTGGGCTGGGAGCACTCTTAGGTTTCTTGGAGTAGAAGACACCTAGGGTGAACTTTGGTGCTTAGCATTTTGTTCATTGGGGCTACTTTTAGAGATACTCAAAATAGTGTATGCTCTGCAACTTGCTGTCACCTGCTCCCCTTTCTTGGTTGTAATAAAATACATGTAATATACAATTTACCATTTTAATGTACACAGTTCAGTGGCATTTAGTACATTCACAGTAGAGCATGGCCATCAGCACCATCTAGTTCTAGAACATTTTCATCTCCCCAAAAGGAAACCTCACACCCATTAGGTAGACACACCCAGTCTTCCCTCCCCCCCAGCCTATGACAGCTACCTCTGCTGCCTATCTGTATATATTTGCCTTTTCTGAATAGTTCAAAGACGTTGGAGTCCACAGTGTCTGCTCTTTTCTGTCTGGCTTCTTCCACTTAACGTAGTTTCACCAACGTTCATTTATGTCGATACTCCATGGTGTGGAAGGACTCATTTTGGTTACACGTCCATCTGTTGGTGGACATTTGGGTTGTTTCCACCTTGGGCTCTGGGGAACTGTACGGCAGTTATATTTTTGTGTTTAGTGGCTATACCTGAGGGTTGGGTTCATTAAGTGGGTTTGTTGGTTTAGCAGGTGTTTCTTGTGTGGATAGCTGAGTGATGGGGCCATTGTTTATTGTGATAGTTATTTTGTGATAATAAATGGTGCCTGGGAAGGTTGTTTTTTGAATGAAAAGAAGGTCCAATTACACATTATTTATTAAGCGAATTACTGTGAAATACTGATTCATTAATTCATTCTTTCATTCATGGACATTGATTGAGCACATAGTAGGGCCACGACCTCACATTAGGTGCTGTGGTTGAACCACCTAGACATGCCCCTTCCCTCCTGTAACTTAGTCCGAGGCAGAGAGTGAGCGCATGCCAAAGAGCTCTACAACCTGGTAGCTGTAGCTCCACAAACCACGCTGCACACGCTTACAGAAAAGAGGGTACCGCGGGAAGGTAGAAAAGGACAGAACTTCCTGCCTCGGGGAGTGTGGGAACATTTCTTCAAGGAGATGGTATTTATGACAAGAAGACAAAACTCTCCAGGCAGAAAGAATACCAAGCCAGAGGTCCTGAAGTTGCAAAGAGCTTGGTTCAGAGAACTCCATGAGGCCAGTGTGTTCAGGCTGAGGCAGGAAGGTCTGGGATGCAGGGGAGTAACGCATGGTGGGCAGGGGTTATGCATCCACCAGGCCGAGGGGCCAATAGCAGTTGGAATTCCATGTTGGGAGCAATGGAAAGAGCTTAAATCAGAGAGTTCTAAAATGTGACCTGAAGTAAGGATCCTAGCTTAATGGAAATCTTCATCCAAGCACGACGTTGGGATGCCCACCCTTCCTTTCCCCGCCCAAAGAGCACTTTACCGTTCAACACCATTGAATTTCAAAACCATGCTGGTGGTGCACAGTGGCGCAGGCACTGCAGCAAGAGCTCAGATAAGCCCCCTGCCCTTGAGATGCGTAGTTCTCCCACTGGAGAACTGGGGAGATGTGTTCGGTTAGACATCACCAGGGGCTGGGTCCTAGAGCGTCTGTTTCCAGGGTGTCGGTGCGTTATCGTGGTAGGAGAAGCTCCTTCTGAGCGATCTGCCTCTGAATCCTGGCTGGAGGAGCGTCTCCTCGTCTTCCCATCACGGGTAGCAGGAAACTCGGCAGGAAATGTACTGGCTCATGGAGCAGAAGGTCCGGGAGGAGCGTTGACTGTGGACTCAGCTTGGCTCTTGGCAAACATCTGTCCAGTCTCAGCAGGACCGTGTCTGGCTCTACTTCCTGGTGCTCCCTTCCTTCCTGTGCTCTGCCGCTCCAAGGTCAGGCTCCTGTCACCTTCAACAGCACAGTGAGAGGCTCTTGGCTTTGTCCCCCGTAGCCCCTGGGACTCACTGCCTTCTGGAGTGTTGTGTTTGCCCAGTGGTGGAGGCTGAGATTGGCTGTATCGGCTCTGGGGCCACCAAGCTGCATGCCAGATGCATGGCAGAAGGGGCTTTGCACCAGAACCCCTGACCAGGTGCCTGTAGAATACAGTTCCCGGGAGGTTCTGAGTGCACGGGGCTGGTCAGACATAAAGGGGTGGGGGGGGTCATGTGTGTGGAAGGGCTTTGATTGCTAGTTTCGTCAAGAGTAAGGAATGAAAACAAGGACAAGGACACGATATTGGAGAACTCATCGGCAATGGGGTTTGAAGGACACATAAACGGGTGCTCAGATTGGGGACTAAACCAGGGGAGGGTTGAGCCACGGAAGCCTGGAGGGCGTGACCTGAGGGGACGTCATTGAAACTGGAGATGCAAACATCACTGAGGACAGAGCACAGCTGTGCTAGGGCAGTGGGGAGGACACAGGGGTCCAGGAGTGGAGGAGTGACTTGGAGTGGGTGAGTCCTGTCTGTCACATACCTTTGGAGTGATGAGGAATAAAGAAGGTGGTAGCCAAGAATCAGAGAAAGCAGTATGTCGGAGAGTCGCCTTAGCTTCACTAATTCATGCTCAGGAGGAAATCCTTGTGAGGGGGCTCAAGGGGACAGGAAACAGAAACTAGGGAATGATGATGCAGGAGACAAAGTGACAAAATGTTTTCAAGAGAATCAGAAAGAATAGGACTCAGGGTACTCAGATGGAGCTGATAGTCCAGGAGAGAACAAGCAATTTCTGCAGCCTTAGTAACCTATCCCTGAGGTACTAGGAACTGTGTGTTTTTGAAGTGTACGGTTTGGTAAGTCTTTACACAGGTAGGTGTGTGTGGAACTAGTGCTGCTCTCAAGAAAATGGCAGTGTCTGTCCATCACCTCCCAAGTTTTCTGTTGCCTATTTGATATTCTCTCCTTGTTCCCTAATGATCAACTAAGCTTAGGTTACAGTCTCTAGAATTTTGTATCCATAAAATCAGACTGGATGTCTCTTTTCTCTTCCTCGGCATGGTCAGTTTTAAGTCACTCTGTATTGTGGTATGCCTCGGTAGCTCAGTCCTTTTCTTTGCTGAGTACTATTTCACTGCATGGACATGCCACAGTTTGTTCTTCTGTTTGCCTGTACATGGGTACTTTGGGTTGTTTTTCTTTTTTCAAGGGAATCACTAAAAATAAAGCTCCTGTGAACATTTGGAAGCACTTCAATTTTGAAAGAGAAGAGGGCCAAAAATAAACATGTTGAGCCACAGAGAAAGAGATAACTTGAGGCATTGCTGACCTTCATTTCCTTACCCACGAAGGAAGGTCATCTATAAACAGAGAGGAGAGAAGGCATTTGGAAACAAGGGAGTGCTCTTGAATTTGGGCAAACATGCTAGGAGTCTTCTGACAGTTCCTAGAGGTGCCATTCAATTAGAATGGCGGTGAGCCCCTGAGTCTGGAGAAGGAGCCTGTGGGGCAGCTGGTTATTAGCCAGGTGTCATCTCACAGTTAGAAACTGGTCATCTTCAGCAGCCTCTGAGTGATGCACACTATTGAGGGGATTGTGAAAAAAACACTCTTAACTCGTATCAGGGAAGTGTGGGACTCACAGAGGGGCCATCTTGTTTTCTGCTACCAATGATTACATATGAACACTTACCTCTGTCTGGTCCAAAAGGAATAAGATGCTTTTGCTCTCCTTGACCCACTTGACTCGGACTTTCCTCATCTGAATCTGTCTATGGCCAGTTTACCTCAGATCCTCTCCACCACCCTGTACATTTACTGGCTTTTCCTTCTCTTTGTTCCAAGCTCTGCAATTTCTGTGCAAGGAAATTCACTTAGAAGTGGATTGAATGGTGATGCTCCAGATTCTGGATGCACACCCGGGACCCTGTATTGGCATAGATCATTGCTGTGGAGCTGGAGGTGTGGCTCCGTAGGAGGTGCTTGCCACAGTGTTAAATGTCCTTCTCAGGACGTCCTAGAGTCTATCTTTTCTTGGAGAAACTAAGTGGTTCTGGGAAAGGGAAAGCATGCAGCCACGTGGTGGGCTCCAGGAACATCTCACACATGCCCAGGATTAGCA